GTCTTGAACCCGCGGGCTCAGGCAATCCACTCACCTCAGCCTCCCAAAGGCGCGGGATTACAGGCTGAGCCACCGAGCCCGGCTATGACTAAGTGTTTACTTGCATCTTTCCTAGGACAGAAAACTCACTACCTGTCCAGTCTGTTGTTACAAATCCCTAAGAGACTTAGAATACGGGGTGATAAGAACCTAAATGAAATTAGTTGGCCGTGGTGGTGCGTGCCTGTAGCTCCAGCTACTTGGAAGGCTGAGGCAGAAGGATCACCTGAGTCAAGCAGGTCGAGGCAGCAGTGACTGTGAACTTGCCACTGTACTCCAGCCTGGGCGACAGGATGAGACTCCAACTCAAAAAATATATAAATAAATAAATGAATAAAAAGTAAAAGAATCTAAATGACTGTAAAGAAATCTGGGTGTGGCTCACACCTTGTAATCCCAGCAATTTGGGAGGCTGAGACAGGAGAATTGCTTGAGCCTAGGAGTTTGAGACCAGCCTAGGCAACATAGCAAGACCTTGTCTCTACAAAAAGTTAAAAAAATTAGCTGGGCACGGTGGCACCTGTAGTCCCAGCTACTCAAGAGACTGAGGCGGGAGGACCACCTGAGCTCAGGAGGTCGAGGCTGCGGTTAGCTGTGATGCTGCCTCTTGCGCTCCAGCCTGGGTGACAGAGCGAATCCTGACTCAAAAATAGAAAAAGAAAAAAAGAATTTTGGCCAGGCTCGGTGGCCCAGCCTGTCATCCCAGCCCTTTGGGAGGCCAAGGCGAATGAATTGCCTGAGCCCGCAGGTTCAAGACCTGCCCGGGCAACCTGGCAGGACCTATCTCTACAATAAATAGAAAGTTAGCCGGGCATGGTAGCGCAGGCCTGTAGTTCCGCAGGCCTGTAGCTACTTGGAAGGCTGAGGTGGAAGGATCGCCGGAGCCCAGCAGGTCGGCGCTGGGGTGGCTGTGAGTGTGCCATGGCACTCCAGCCTGGGTGACGGAGTGAGATTCCAACTCAAAAAAAAAAAAAAGAATTTTAGGTTTGCACCTCAGTCTCCCTACTAGCCGCGAAACAGACACAACAGAACGATTATGCTATGAGGCAGAACTTGATCCCTTCTTTGGCTCACGTTCCCCCGCGTTAACTCAGCCCCCCTTGATCACAGGAGACCCCCACCTGGCAACAGGGCTCCCCTCACTGGGCTGGTGAAGGGGTCTGTTGGCCCTCTGGCTTTCGGGGAAATTGACTGTGGCTAGCACTGTGTTATCTCTCTAAATCCTCAGTCACTGTTATTCCCATCTTACAGGTTAGAACACAAGGAGCAGACGCATTACATAACACGTCTAAAGTCCACACACAGACTGGCTGGCACGATGGCTCCTGCCTACAATTCCAGCACTTTGGAGGCCAAAGCCAGAGGATCACCTGAACCCAGGAGGTCGAGGCTGTGATGAGCCGTGACTGTGCTACTGCTCTCTCGCCTGGGCGACAGAGTGAGACTCCGACTCAAAACAAACACACAGACAAAACCGGCCATGCACCGTGGCTCCCCGCCATAATCTCAGCGCTTTGGGAAGCCCAGGCGGGAGGACGGCTTCAGCCCAGGAGTTCAAGACCAGCCTGGGCAACATAGCAAGACTTGGTTTCTATGTGTTAAACTTTTGAAAATATCAAATAAAATAAATAAATGAAGTCCACAGGCTTTGTTTGGAACCGGGGCCTGTGCCCTCCTGCAGCTGGGCAGAGGACAGCCTGATGGCCTCTGGGGTCTAGCTGGTATGGCCACAGCCTCGCTCAAGGCCTCAAAACCATGCACCGGGCACGGGAGGTGGCACATGCACCTGGTATGGCCATAGCCTCGCTCAAGGCCTCAAAACCATGCACTGGGCATGGCCCTGTCTCCACTTGGCTGGGGCTGGACCCTTCTGCAGCCTGGGAGGCTGTCCTGCTCCCAGCTGGCTCTGTCGACAACTTCCTCTCCTCTTGGCTCCCTCTCCCAGCTCTTCTGCCCCCATTCTCTGACCAAAAGAAGGACAATTAACTTTTGTCTCTGATCCTAAGCACACCAGGGACCTCCTGGGGTTCCAGATCCCCTGGTTGCCCAGTGGAGGGACACAGTAGACCAGTGGTTCCCAGACACTGGGGTCATGCAGACAAGAAACATTTAAAAAGGAGGAGAGGGGCACCACTGCAGGGCTGCCAAGTTTTCATTTTGCCAAGTCAAGGCTTTCTAAACAATGACCGTTGACTGCTGCCGTGAGTTCAGAAAAGGACATTTCATCAAAGTGGGAAGTTCATAATCTCTCTGATTTTTTTATTTTATTTTTTGGAGAGACGAGTTCTCGCTATGTTGCCCGGATTGGTCTCCAACTGCTGGGCTCAAGCAATCCTCCCATCTCGGACTCCCAAAACTGTGAGGATTACAAGCAGGAGCCACCGTGTCTCGTCAAATCTTTTTTTTTTTTTAGAGATAGGGTCTTGCTCTGTTGCCCAGGCTGGAGTTCAGTGATACAATCATAGTTCACCACAGCCTTCAACTGCTAAGCTCAAACGATCCTCCCATCTAGTTGGGACTATAGGTGTGAGCCACTATGTCCAGCTAATTTTTTTTTTTTAATTTCTGTAGAGACTGGGTCTTGCTATTTTGCCCAGGCTGGTCTCGAACTCCTGGGCTCAAGCGATCCTCCCGCCTCAGCCTCCCAAAGTGCTGGAATTACAGGTGTGAGCCACCATGTCCGGCCGTATCTCTGAATTTTTAAATGGAATCCATGTGGCCTGAGTCCAACTCACCACATTGCCCCTATGTTCCCTCTGCTTTACGGAGAACTAGAAAATCTTTATAGGGAGTGTCTGAGCCTCTGGGGAGAGATCCAGAGAGACCCTCCCAGCTCCATGAGCTGGTTGACCAGAAGTCCAGCCCCAGCCTGGAGCCTGTCTGTAAGTACGTGCTGACCTGCCCTAGGGACCCAGTTCTACTTGGGCCAGTCTATAGGTAGTTGGGGTCCATGGGAAAGGACATAGTCGCTGCTCTTAGAGACAAATCACACACAGACAGACACACAGCAACTGGGCAGCGCACAAGAGCCAGTCAAGGGCACAGTATAAACTGAAGAGGTGGGTGAACTGAACTCCCCTCGGCCAAGCCCTCTTCTGGCCGAGCCCTGCCTGGGGTGCTCTCTCCTACATAGCTGCATGGTTCCCTCCCTCACCTCCTTCAAGCCTTTGCTCAATGTTACCTTCTTGATTATTATTAGGATTATTATTTGTAGAGATGAGGTCTCACTATGTTGCCCAGGCTGGTCTTGAGCGCCTGGGCTCAAGCAATCTTCTCGCCTTGGCCTCCCAAAGTGCTGGGATTATAGGCGTGAGCCACCGCACCTGGCCTTTTTCTTGGTATCAGTGTTACCTTCTCAATGCAGCCAACCCCACCCACCCTATCTTATACCACCCCGTCCCCTAGAGTCACCCCCACTTCCAGTCCACCTCACCTAGCTCTGCTTCTCCTCTCATTCCATAGCAGGTGGATGGATCACCCCAACACAACTTACATGGTCACTGCTTTTCCACTCTCTGCCTCTCCCTGCTAGAATGTACGTTCCACATGATAGGTACTCAATAAAAGTGTGCAGCATAACTGAACACACTGAGACTCAGAGAGGTTAAATAACTTGCCCTAAGCAGCAGGGCCAGCAAGTGGCAGCGCTGGGGCGGAACTCCTCTGTCGCGGTGCTGCTGGGGCTCCCTCCCTGCACAGAGACGAGGAGGAAGTGGGCATCAGGAGGCAGCTGGGAGAATGAACGGAGAAGGCTGCCCTCCGGCCCAAGGTACCTCCCGCCTCCTCACCCCTGCAGCAGGCTAGCAAAAGTGTGTGCCTATGTGTGACCAAGGCTGGAGGCGCCCAGGAATGGGACTCTTGTTTTCTTTAGAGCCAAACATGACAAATGCTTGAGCCCCAGGGCAGAAGCAGCTGACCCGCTCAGGCGTGGGTGGGCAGCCCTCGTTGGCTCTGGGCTTCGGGCAGCTGTGCCAACCATGCCTTGGCAGGGAGTCAGGAAGGCAGGAGGGCAGGCAGCAGGAACGGGAATCCACCAGATGGGCTGCCCGTGTCTGCCCCACCTCCGAGTTTTGGATGCTTGGTTCTTGTTCATGCACAGCCCACAGCTTCCCTCCTGCAGGCATCCTCCACCCACATCCCTGCCCATCCTTTGGCACGGCCTCGCTCCATGGGCAGATGCCCTGTCTATCCACAGAAGAGACAGAAGCTGCCCCAGGTGTTTGGAAGAAAAGCCAAAGAGACAAAAAGAGGGCAAGCAGGAGCTGAACGCCTTAATAGCTGTGTGAAGTTGGGCGTGGTGGCTCACACCTATAATCCCAGCACTTTGGGAGGCCTAGATGAGAGGATTGCCTGAGCCTGTGGGTTCAAGACCAATCTGGACAACTTGGCAAGACCTCATTTCTACAATAAATTAAAAAAAAATCAGCCAGGCATGGTGGTACATGCCTGTAGTTCCAACTACTTGGAAGACTGAGGCAGAAGGATCACCGGTGCCCAGCAGGTGGAAGCTGAGATGGCTGGGAGTGTGCCACTGTCCTTCAGCTTGGATGACAGAGTGAGACTCAAACTCAAAAAAACAAAAATTTTTTTTTTTTGTAGAGATGGGGTCTTGCTATATTGCCCAGGCTGATCTAGAACTCCTGGGCTCACACAATCTCCCCACCTCGGCCTTCCCAAGTGCTGGGATTACAGGTGTGAGCCACCATGCCCAGCCTATTATTATTAATTTCTAACAGTTTTGAGGCATACAATCAGTTTATAACTCCCACAGATCCTCACAGACTATTTAGCAGAGTAGGAAGGAGACTCCCTCCATGGCATATGCCGGTTCCCACGTCTCTCTCCTCTTTCATCCCCATTTGACAAATGGAACAACTGAGGCCCAGAGGAGTTGCTTGACTTGCTCAAGATAACACATTTTTTTTTTTTATGAGTTGGAGTCTCGCTCTGTCACCCAGACTGGAGCGCAGTGGCATGCTCCCGGCCTCCGTAGCTTTGACCTGCTGGGCTCCGGCGATCCTTCCACCTCAGTCTTCCAAGTAGCCAGAACTACAGGTACACACCACCATGCCCAGCTGATTTTTTATTTGTTGTAGAGATGAGGTCTCACCAAGTTGCCCGGATTGGTCTGGAACCCATGGGCTCCTCGGCCTCCCAAAATGCTGGGATTATAGGCGTGAGTCACCACATCCAATTAGATAACAAAGTTTTACTAGTCCAAGGCCTACCTTCCTTTCCCCATCCCGGCTCCTTTGCCACAGGTTTCTGGGCAAAGAAAGTCAATACGGAGAGTTACCTTTCCTCTTGGGCAGCCGTGGGTTCCCCTGGAGGCCAGAGACCCACTCTACAGGCCCCCAGGGGGTGGGGAGGTAGATTTCTGCCCTCCATCCCTCTCTCCCAACCCAACCCACAGTCCCAAAGGACAAGTTTGTCCAGCTGGAGAGGGGAGAAGGTGTGAAGGGGCAAGGGGCCTCCGGGCTCTGACCGGCTATTGATATGCAGAAGGGCAAGTCTGGAGGCCTCAGCAGCCTGATCAGTCCCTGGCAAAGATGCAAGTGGTTGCAGGGGGGCGTCCAAGGGGGGCCCAGGAGGTGGCAGAGCTGTTAAAAGCTCCCTCCAGCCACAGAACCAGAAGCGATTCCTCAGAGCACTCAAGTCGTCCTCCTTGTTCCATAGCAGGGAAATGGAGGCACCACAAGAGTTCAGTCTTGTCCAAAGTCACACCGGTTAGAATTTCCACATACTCTCCCTGAGCTCAGGACAGAGGGGAGGGGAGGGGGAGGGAGAATCGGATTGCCCGGTCCCAATCCCAGCTCCAGCACTCACAAGCTCTGTTGCCCTGGGCAGTGTGCTTTACCACTCTGGGCCTCAGTTCTCTCATCTATGAAATGGGATCAAAATGATATGTGAAATCTCCTCATTGAGTTGCTAAGAAGATCAAATGAGCTAATGACAAAGAAAGAGCCTGGCTCCTACTCTTTTTAAGCTCTTGGCCACCGCAGCCTAGACTGCTGGGCTCAGGTGATTCTTCCACTTCAGACTTCCAGGTAGCGGGAACTACAGGCATGCGCCATCACGCCCAGCTAATTTTTTGGATTTATTGTAGAGACAAGGTCTTGCCAAGGAGCCCAGACTGGTCCAGAATCCGGGGGGCTCAGGCCATCCTCTCGCCTCTGCCTCCCAAAGTGCTGAGATTACAGGCGTGAGTCACCGCACCCAGCTGGCTCCTACTCCTAATGTAGTTGCTAAGTGTTAGCAATTAGTTTTGTTTTGTGGCCCAGGATGGAATGCTGACACACTATCATATTTCACTGTAACCTCGAATTCCTGGGCTCAAGTTATCTTCCCACCTCAGCTGCCCAAGTAGCTGGGACTACAGGCACACACCACCATGTCTGGCTGGCTTTTGTATTTTTTTGTAGAGATGGGGTCTGGCTATGTTGCCCAGCTCAGTCTCAAACTCATGGCCTCAAGAGATCCTCCTGCCCTGGCCTTCCAGAGTGCTTGGGATTACAGGCACGAGCCATTATATCCAACCAACAATTATGATGTGTTGGAATCAATCAAACTCAAGCCACACCAAGAGACAAGTGTATGTGGGGGGGGTGCAGAAAAAAACACCCACCCACAATTCTCCTTGCCCCTACATGAGGCCATGAAGTCTTTCCAGTGAGCCCTGACCCGCTGGTCCTCCCTTCTTGAGGGTAAGCTTCACTTTGTCCTCAGAGTCCTAGCTGACCTGGCAGTGACAGGTCATCCGTCCACACTGGCTGGAGCGGCTGCAACTCAGTCCCAGGACAGCACCTGCCCACTGCTGCTTCTCCTGGTCCCCCCGGCCCTGTCCCAGTGCTCATGCCGGGGTTGGCAGCCCCATCCCAGTGCTCAACCATTGGCGGTTGGCAGCCCCTCATGTGCCCTGGCCTTAGGAGGCCAGCCACCTTCCTCCTCCTCCCTGATTTCACTTGTTTCTGGGCTGGTACCTCTAGTACTTTCTCGCGGCCCCTTGCTCCTGGCCCTCCAGGCTTATCTTTCTGTATCAGCTGCAGCAGAATTTTGGGGTGGGCGGATATCACCATCTTGGAGGCCATCCAAGGGGCTGAAGCCCTGGGCAAGAACCCCAAGGACAGGCAGCACCATGCCTGGGCGTGAGGCCTCTGACGCAGGCTGCGAGCTCTTAAAGGGCCAGGACCCGGTCACAAACGGCCGGCCCGGTGCCTGGCTCCTGGCGAGAAGCAGGAGCCTGTAACGGGCACCCACAAGGACAACAGGCTCACGTTCCCCACGGTGGCTCTGAGGCCTCATCCGGACGCCGCGTCCTTGCCAAGGGTTGGAGCAGCTGAAGAAAAACACCCCACTGGCTACATCAATGAAGCAGACCCTGCAGAAATTCCATCTCCAGCTTCCTGTGACACGGCCACACTGAGGTCATAACTGGCTGGACCCGCAGGGGACACTGAATCCTCAGAGGCTCACGTGACCACTTATCACCATCTCCCTTATAATATATTAAGGAAGAGCAAGAGAGACGGGTGCCCAGCAATGCCAGCTGGGCACAGTCACCTGGGCAGGGACAGAGTGGTGCTGCCAGGTACACAGGAAAAGAGACACACCTGCCTACCTGCCTGGGTCAGGTCTCAGAGGTCCCCCGAGGCTGGGGGAGGGGCAGGGGATACATATACCCCTGGGCAGAGGTGCCCAGCCTGCCCTGCCCAGCTCTCTTTCCAGCAGAGATGGCACGTGGGTTCTGAGACAGCCATGAGGCACCTAAATGTGACAGGGGTGGCTGAGTGCCCTTCATTCGACCGGGAACAGCGGGACGTCGGGACAGTCGCCAGAGATGCTTATCCACATAAGCAAGAGAGGCCTGTGTCATCGCTAGGTTGCAGCCGGGGCTAGGGTGGGCTGGTGGTGTCAGAGTCAGACAGACCTGGTTTCACTCCCAGCTCTGCCACTTCCTGGCTGGCTGACCTTGGGCAGGTAACTTCGTCCTGCTGAGCCTCTCTTTCCTCATCTCTACAACGGGAGGCTGGGTGCAGCGACTCACGCCTGTAATCCCAGCACTTTGGGAGGCCGAGGCAGGAGGATTACTTGAGCCCAGGAGTTTGAGTCCAGCCTGGGCAACATAGTGAGACCTCATCCCTACAAAAAAAATTTATTTTTTTTGAGTTGGAGTCTCACTCCACTCCCAGCCACCGCAGCCTCAACCTGCTGGGCTCCGGCGATCCTTCTGCCTCAGCCTTCCGAGTAGCTGGAACTACAGATGTGCGCTACCAGGCCCAGCTAATTTTTTTTTATTTTTTATTTTATTTTATTTTTTTGAGTTGGAGTCTCACTCTGGAGGCTCCCGGCCACCGCAGCCTCGACCTGCTGGGCTCCGGCGATCCTCCCGCCTCAGCCTTCTGAGTAGCCAGAATTACAGGCACGCGCTACCACGCCCGGCTGATTATTTGATTTATTGTAGAGATGAGGTCTCGCTGCCCAGGCGGGTCTCGAACCCACGGGCTCAGGCAATCCACTCACCTCAGCCTCCCAAAGGCACGGGATTACAGGCTGAGCCACCGAGCCCAGCTTTGATTTATTATATAGATGAGGTCTTGCCAAGTTGCCCAGGCAGTTCTCAAACCGGTGGGCTCAGGCAATCCACCTCCCTCGGCCTCCCAAGGCACGGGATTACAGGCTGAGCCACCAAGCCCAGCCAAAAATATTTTTTTAATTAGCCAGATGTGGTGGTAGGCACCTATAGTCCCAGCTATTCGAGAGGCTAAGGCGAGAAGATCACTTGAGACCAGGAGTTTGAGGCTGTAATGAGCTATGATCGCACCACTGCCCTCTAGACTGGGCAGCAGAGTGAGGCCCTATCTCTAAAATAAGTAGATAAATAAAATAAAATGAGACTCATGATAACCCACATCCCATGGGGCTGTCTGCAGCTTCTCTGCGCACCCAATTCCTGGCGCTGTTTGTGGAGAGGGGAGTGAGGTGACACATGCCAAGCACGGAGCAGACACACAGTCACACCTCACGTCACGGTGACAAAGATCCTTCCTGCTGGCGGCCAGGAACTGCGGCCCTTGCTGTCCCCCCAGGCTCCTTCTGCTCGGCCCCAGGGCATAGGCATGATGGACAGCAACCCTTCCCAGCCTCACTGCTTCTCTGCCCCTGTGGGAAGCTGGAGAAAGTCTCTCCTACTGCCATATAAGGCCAGGCCTGGATGGCCTGGGGTCACCCACCATGCCATCGGGGTTGGGAATGCCAGCTATGCAGGGGGAGTGGGAGGCATTGGCCGGTTCTGCCCGCTCCAGCAGTGTTGATATGCACACGCGCGTGTGCACACACAAACACACAGTGTGTGGAAGGAGGGAGGCACCCACGGAGGTGGCCCAGCCAAGCTTAGAGATTGAGAAAAAAGACTGGGTTCAAGTCAAGGCTGTTGAAACCCAGGCAATGTACTCAGCTCCTGTAAGTCTTGTTTTCCATAAAATGGGAAGAATAAAGGCTGAGTGTGGTGGCTCATGCTTGCAATCCCAGCACTTTGGGAGGCCAAGGCAGGAGGACTGCTTGAGCACAGACATTCCAGACCAGCCTGGGCAACACAGTGAGGCATTATCTCTACGAAAAATAAAAAAATAAGCCACACGTTGGCGCATGCCTGTAGTCCTAGCTATTTGGGAGGCTGAGGAGGGAGGATCTCCCGAGTCCAGGAGGTTGAGGCTGCAATGAGCCGTGATTGTGCCACTGCACTCCAGCCTGGGCTACAGAGACCCTGATTCAAAAATAAGAAAGGGGGGGATAATAGTACCTGCCTTGGGCCAGGCTTGGTGGCTCAGCCTCTAATCCCAGCACTTTGAGAGGCCGAGGCGAATGAGTTGCCCGAGCCCATGGGTTCGAGACCAGCCCAGGCAACTTGGAGAGACCTCGTCTCTACAACAAATCAGAAATGAGCCGGGCATGGTAGCACATGCTACTTGGAAGGTGGAGGGGGAAGGATCACGGGAGTCCAGCAGGTCGACACTGGAGTGGCCGTGAGTGTGCCACTGCACTCCAGCCTAGGCGACGGAGTGAGACTCCAACTAAAAAAAAAATAGTATCTGCCTCTGAGAGCTAGAGTGAGCATTCCATAGGACAAGACTCACAGTGCTGGCATGTATGATGGGCTCAGAAAGCGACAGCAAAAACTAAAGTGAAACAAAAAAGAAGGGCGTTTTCACACAGCCCCCACCGCCCTTCCTCTATTTTTACCCCAAATCCCTTATGATAACAATAGCTAAGACTGAGCCGCCCTGCTGCCCTCAGGAAGAAAGGCCCCAAAAGGAACTGGGGTGTTGGCCACAGAAGCCCTTGGAGCTGCCGGCCAAGCTGGGCTCTGTCCCATGCGGCAGCCACGGCAGTGCCCAAGCCACCTGGGACAGCAACCCGGTGACCCCAGCAGGCAGTGAGTCACTTAGCCCAGCCCCCCAGAATTCACACTCCAGTGGGGCAGTGAAGATGCACTCCCAAAAAGGCAACCCGGGCTGCCAACATGGTTCTCCCTAGAATCCACCTGCCCCAGGAACCCTCCACTGCAGCCACGGCCACAGGTGAACCGGGTTCAGACCATCACACACACAGTAACCGCCCCTACAGTCTGCAAAGAGTCCCCATCCACTTATTGCTAATGATTGTTACAGGGATCCAGAGAGGGCAGCGATCACTGCTCCCATTTCTGGCCTGGGAAGACTGAGGCTCTTCCAAGCTGAGAAGCCAGCATGAGCCACAGGGTATTTTCCACTGCCTGCACCTCAAGGCCTCAAACAAACAAATGATAAGAATCAAGGCCAGCGCAGTGGCATGCGCCTGCAATCCTGCCTGCAATCCCGGCACTTTGGGAGGCTGAGGCTGGAGGATCACTTGAGGCCAGGAGTTCGAGACCAGCCTGGGCAACACAGCGAGACCTCATTTCTACAAAAAAGCAAAAAAGTTAGCCAGGTGTGGCAGCACACGCCTGTAATCCCAACTACTTGGGAGGGTGAGAAGGGAGGACCGTCTGAGCCCAGCAGGTCCGAGACTGTGGTGACCCATGCCACTGCCCTCCAGCCTGGGCGACAGAGTGAGACCCTGACTCAAAAAACAAAAAAACAAGAAGAATCAGCACAGCATCCAGCCTTCCCAGGTACTTCACATAGATTACATCACTGAAAAACCACAGCAACCATAGCTTTTTGGAAAGGAAGGATCAGAGAGGTGAAGTGGCTGGCCCAAGGTCACGGGCCAGTGCTCTGCCGGCCCCATCTTCACTCTCCCCAGTTCCAGCGCTGTCCAGACCAGCCTCTAACAGCCATTATCCCTCCCTGTTCCAGGCCAAGCCAGTCCCCCTCCCAAAACAACCTGCAACCTCCCACCCCCATCTGCCTCCCCAAGTGTGGGGTTGGCATGGAGAGTCCCACCAAGTCAGCTCTTCTGGCTTGGCCAATGACAGTCACCTCACCCCCCAGCTCCAGCTGTCTCTGGCTCAGGGTCCTGCTGGCTGTGGGCGGATTCCGCCAGTTCACAACCCGCCCAGCCAAGTGGCCCAGGGGGCTGTATGAGGTCAGGGTCCCAGGCTCTTGTCCAGAGGGTTAGAGCAGTCAAGACCTAGGCTAGGCTGGCCCAGAGGGAACTAGGAGGGAGCCCAGCAGGGACCCTGAGCCCCTGAGACCACCAGCCAGATGTCCAGGCACCTTTTTGGCTGTGCTCAAGATGGCACCAGGAGGTAGCGTGAGGGTGGCGGCGAAGGGGCCAGTTTACCTGAGGGACCCTGAGACTCCCAGAGCCCCCCATGGGACCTGGAGCCAACAGACTAAACACAAACAGGCTGCCTACTTCTTATTTTATCTATCTATCTATTTCTTTTCTGGAGTCAGGGTCTCACTCTGCTGTCCAGGCTGGAGTGCAGTGGCACAATCACGGCTCACCGCAGTCTTGACCTCCTAGGCTCGGGCGATCGTTCTGCCTCAGTCTCCCAAGTAGCTGGGACTACAAGTGCCTGCCACCACTCCCGGCTAGTTTTTTGATTTTCTTTTAAAAGATAAGGTCTCACTATGTTGCCCAGGCTGGTCTCAAACTCCTGGGCTCAAGCAATCCTCCTGCCTGGGCCTCCCGAAGTGCTGAGATTCCAGGTGCGCACCACGCCGCCTA